CACGCAGAAAAGCGTCAAATGCTTATTAGCCAGCATTTTTTCCGTTGGCACAAAAGTCCGTCGACAGGAAGAAAGTATAAAGAATCGTGGATCATAAAATTTTAATATATGTATAACGAAAGTATATTTTCAAAAGAAATTTTCTTGCTTTCATTCTTTTTGTCATTAATAAAAAGAGGATTATATATTATCTCTACACTTTAAAAAATTTTATTTATTACGAATGTCATAGTATGCTCTCGCATATCATAGAAATTTTATGCATGTTTCGATTCACGAATAGTTATTGGAAAGTCATATATATTAAACGATATAATATCTTATAGGACCGTATATGTGATAACACAAACTATAAAAATCAATGCCAAACAGTCTAGCTGGATCTTAAATGTTTGTATAATTCTGTGTGAATTTATATCTCAGACAACAAAAAGTATCTAAAATCAGGCCACCGACGACGCCGACGACGGCGATCGACGCCGACGACGACGCCAACTTCGATACCTATGCCGACCGACGACGTCGACGACAATGCCAACGATACTATTACGCTGAAAAAAAAATTTACGAAATTTGAATAATTTCCCTGCTTAAAATTTTCTATAAAAAACTATAGAAACATATGGAATTTGTATAGGTTTTTATAATTTTCAATAGTTCTTCTATAGTAGCGCACGAGAAGGACTACAGAAACTCTACAATTATCAACAAGATTCTACATTGATTTAAAGGATGCAGGAAATGAGAATATGCATCACAGAAACTAACTATTAATAACTTTATTTTGAAAAAAAAGCACTTTCAGAAACTCTATGTCGCTTGCAGAGTATATGTACGCTACAGACGTCGCCAAGTAAGCGGTGTAATACACAGTACCGCCGCAAGATGGACTCGTTTTCCGTAAGGAGAAAATGACGCGGATTCCTATAAATAGGCATATGTAAATGAAATCCATCACTTGCTCTTAGCTTGATCAGAGTGTGCTCGTAGAGTCTCTAAAAGTGCTTTTATTAAAATAGAGTTATTAATAATTAGTTTCTGTGATGCATACTCGGTTCCTGCATTTTGTATCTCGCCGAAACGTGGATATATAGAAAATCTTAGCACTACTCAGTATTACTACAGTACAGTGATGCGAATTCCGCTTGCAGAACGGTTAGTAGCATGAAGAGGGCATAAGGAAGTACATACATTACGACAAGTTCATATCTGTGTATACTTGCACATGCGTTATGTGCCCGTCTATGCTCTCTTCATGCTAGTAACAGTGCTGCAAGCGGCCCGGAATTTGCATCACTGCTACAGTAGTGTAGTAAATATTTTGTAGATGACAATTTTATAAGTAGCGGTTACTATGTTTGATTTGCGATACTGAGGATGACCAGATATATGTAAAGTAAATTAATATATTTATTGCACTGTCATCCTGCGTTGGCTTTTATGCTCCTTCATTGTTCAAATTTGATTTATTCAGAAGTCGTTTGTTTAAAGACAGTAAATATATAAGACCAGAAGAGCCCCTGTATTCTGTAACTCGTTGCACTTATATTTTTAGCTGCATATACTTTTAAATATATTAAAATCGTAACTGCAGTGGTTTGCCAAACCACCGAAGAGAAGCTAAAATGCAATGGCAAACCACCAAGAGTATCTTGCTAAGAGCACTTTTTTAACAAAAAAATTTCGTCATTCAGAATCAACTTTAAACTAGGGTAGGTCTCATATGATTGTATACAACCAGTCTAACTCCATTCGAAATGGATCTCAACCGTGCACAGCGTACACATTCTGTTCCAATTGAATCGTGCACATTGTTACACTTTGTGCATTCCTGTGTATGTTTGTATTAAGATGTGTTAAGCAATTGGAAAGCACCCAGTATTAACAATGAAGCGGAGAGGAAAGATGAAAGAAAATAAATACTACGTAAGTAAATAATATTTATTGTTATCGTTATTACTAAGGCACTTGTTATCGATATAAAAATGTATCTCACAAATTATTGCCAATGAGCATATTTAAATACTGACATTAAACAACTAATTGCTTTTCATGTATAATCTCAGATATTATGGAGGCGAATGCGCAGCCTAAAGCGGGGAGTTTTCGATCTAAAAGTCTATTCAACGCATCAACATAGATCGCGAAACTTGCATTCTTGTCTTAAGAACGTCTTCAACATGAAGGCACTTACGTAAGTTTCGTATCGCAATGCTCCCCAAAACGTAATCTACACTGAGTTTAGACTAAAAGCAAGATACAGTATGGTAAATATTAATCGTTAAATTGCAATTAAAATAATACATTAAACGCGCTTGATTACATGACGTTCCTGGAAGACTGTCGGTCGGATCGATTCTCATGATACCGGAAAACGCTACTAATTTCGACGGTAACGTCAATCGGAAAGGGACATCGCTATAAATCATAAAACACGGCGAACTCGAATAAAACAAAACTAAAAAGCGACTGAATAAAATTGGAATTTTTAGATAAGAGAAAGCGAATAAAAAGGAGAAACTCAAAACTGTATAAAACTCAAAACGCGTATTTATCATCCGGTTCTTAAAAATGGTATTTAAAATGTTTCAAATACAATCAATTGTAAGATGATCAAACTTGTACATATAAAATAAGAAAGATCACGTTCTCAATTTCTCACACCGTGTTCAACATGCGACGTCCCGTCTTCCAGAGTCTCGGTCCAAAAATACAGTGAATGACACAAATGTCAAATCAACGTTTACAACATGATCACCCTTTCTTTACTATCTTAAAAGAAAAAAAAATCAAGCGGTCAAAAATTCGATATTCGCACGGTCAACCAGTTGAATAAATGAGACATCAACGCAGGAGCGTGTGAATAACGAAACGCAAATTTCTCCGAGGCTTTTCCCGACTACAGGAAAAGGCAGGAGAATGCTAATATTACAAAAAGTTTTACATGATAGATTGTCGAAGTCCTTAATATACAAAGAGGTAAGAAATTCACATGACTATTTCGATTTCATGGCACAAGCGCGTTAATACTCAATTTGATAAATATTATTCAATATAATGTTTACCTTTGTTGTTTATAAACATTACCTATTGTTTACGAATACAAAAGTTTATTATTCAATTACGTCAATCCTCATTATATATCGATCAAAATGGACATTGCCGCTTGCTAAGTAATAGAAATAGTCGCGTAAATCTCTTTCCAAATATTTTCAGCTGCCACATGTAACTAATTGCATATACGCGTTATCTTCTTTACCGGATATTTTATGATTTCCGGTAATAAGTAGGCCGTGAGTTAATTCGCGATAACGAAAAATTCAATGTTAGTGGCCTTTTTTTCCGCGCTACTCCTGTACCCTTCGTTAGATACAGAACGCGAACTCCTTAAGATAAAAGATATATAGATAAATACCAGATATTCTTCTCGCAATCTCCATTACATAATTGATAGTATAAAACGTAAGTGAGAAGTTTACAATCTAACAGCATTTCTCGAAAAATATCAATATAATTGCAATTTGTAACAAGAGTATAGACTTTACATATAAAAAAAATATATTTTTTTTTTCTTTTACATTTTTTCGCGGCAAAAATATTTAGCCGGCGATCTAGAAATACGATCACTTTTAATAACTACATTTATTATGGTTTCTATGGACGGTTAATGCAGCAAAAAACGATGAGTAATGATGGTCACATTAATTGATTACAAAGACAAGGCACTCTGCTTTAAAGCATATCGTTCGTAAAAAATTACACTACAAACAGGATCGCAGACATAACATGTTTCAAATACATGTATATGCGATTTAAAGAGCTGATTAAACATTGTACAATTCCGTATGTCATATTCGAAATATTATTAACGTCAGTTATGCTGTATTAAAATATCTTCTATCTTCATCCAGTAAACATTACAATTGCTCCACAACTTCAAAGATCTTCAACGATCTTCGAGCATTATGACTTCGTCAGTATTCATAATTTACATCCCAAGATTGCCAGTGCATCTATAATAAGCCTGTAAGTATTAGTATCAAAAATTAAAAGCCAATTATAGCAATAATTGCTATAATTGATATCATTTATATTAATAACATTTATAACAATTTCCAATTTACATGCACCCAAGATATATGTAAATAGCACCAAATCCCTCACGCGCAAAAACATGCAAGCAAATCGACTCACATTAGAAAATGTTGAGATAAAATCTTTTTGTATCAGGCACTTTGAAATTTGTTTGAAATTGTTCATAATTCATTCATAGTCTCTCTATATTAACTTTTATAATTAAACTGTTCTGCGTGCAAAAACCATAGGAAGATGTAATTACAAGCTGGGAGCACAAATATTGTACGATCTCTTGATACCAACATATGCAACAAAAATCATGATCTTATAAGATTGTCAAGTTTAACGAATATGAATACGGAATATATATAAATTTCCGTTGCATATATAAAATATAATATTGTTTAACGAAGAAAGAAATGAAGAAGAAAATAAAGGACTAGATGTGTTAACAATTACGTTTAACATGCTTGCTAGTAAAACAAATTCGCATATAGTCCTTCATTTACTCCTTCTCTTTTTCCTTCCTTCAGACGGCATATAACGAAATATAAACATCTTTTTATTTGGATTTTCATCTTTACAAGAGAAATGCGGTACCACAATGTATTACAAAATTATAGTGAATTTACTTTTTATTTAATCGTTTGTATCACGAGAAAATATTTTTTCATTAAAAATTCCTTAAAACATATGCAGTACTAATTATAATAATAATCTCTCGTTTGATAGAAAAATTTTTCCATTAAACTATCCAACACTTTCCAAAGACAAAAAGAGAAAAAGAGAGACATATATTTATTATAGCATGTTTATAATCGCATGCACATATAAATATCTATATTTTAATTTGTTTCTTAAATTTTGATGTTTTAGAGCGTCTGAGATAGCTCAATAATAAAATCATTACGTATTAAGCAAAAATTAAATTCTCAATTCTATCATTCTGTTATGAGAAACTTGAAATGAAAAAATATATTCCAACAATATCCTGATTGTTTTAGCGTGGTAATATATTCCCGCAAAAATCCAAATAAAAAGAAATAAATAAAAAAAATAGGTGTTTAGGTTCGAAGTAGACACTTAATTCTATCCTAATCTAATATAATCTAACCTACAAAATTATAAAGAAATAAAAATTGCATCATTGATTGAAAATATTGAAAACAACATTGCTCGATGATGCAATTAATTGACCGCAGGTTAATATCTAGATCTGAATAAAGTTTCCACTTCGAGAACCTGAATACCTATCCTTTTAAATAGGCCGACATCTGCCGCAGTATCACTTCTAATCCTATAGCCAAGTCAGCACGTTCTCCGGCTTGGTCGTGTTAGGATTTATGAGTGACTGCACGTCGTCCAAAATATCGGTGCTGAACTCCTCGTTCAGCTGAAACAATAACAATTGTCGATACAAAAGACCGCATTCAAAGGGTTTTAACACAGGCTTGCAACAATCGTCACCATGTAAAATGACCTACCTGAAGTGACGGCAGGAGATCATCTGTCGAATCGATATTGTCACTCAAGGTTGAGAGATCCGGCGTGTCCATCGGCGCACCTCCGTCTGTAAAAAAATTCATCGAATTCAAAGTATGACTAAACAAAATGTGATATTATGGCAAATACGTACTTATGTATTTATGGCTTCGGTATAATCGTTTCGTAAGATCATTCAACGCACAGTGCCTTTCTGCAATTGGAACAATTGCGCAAAACAATTATTCATAAATCGAAAATTGACTTAATGGCACAGCAAAGCAAGCGAATAAACATTCTTTTTAGCCTAGAGTCTTATAAGCGTGATGGTGGCGATGGATTTTGAAAATGCTGCGTAAAAAGGCTTTGTATTCCGAAAAAATTGTGAATTTCGAACGGGCCGTTCTTACCGCTCGTGCCATCCATGTTTTCGTCTATATTGAGGAAGTCGTCGGAAGCCTGAGGCAGTGAATATGCAGAACCGAGTCCCAATCCGCTATCGGCGCTCTCCTGGCGTGCATGCTCGTTAATGCCTGACAAAAACGGATCCATGACGGCGTCCGTGGTGCTCTGTCGCAGCATCATCTCTTGTTGCTGCATCGAAAAAAGATGCGTGAATATCGAAAATGGTTACTACAAATGTCACGCGATCAAGCCTCCAGATTAAAGGACGACTCACAATGCCAACCTGGCGCATAATTTCCTGTTGTCGCTGTTTCAAACGTTCACGTTCCAACTGCAACGATTGAAGACGAATCTTCTGCTTCTGGCAGGCCTGTAGATTCTGGTTGCTTTGGATGCCGGTGGGTTGTTGAAGTTGCCAGTTTTGTGGCAGCATCGCGCCGGACGCCGGAGTTCTTTGGAGATGCGATGCTGAAGGAACGATATCTTATACGAATATACGATAAGAAATGAGGATTAGTCAACAATATAAAAATATATTAACAAAAGTGAATCACATCGTTGAGAAAGGTTCCTCGCCAAGTGATATAAATCTTGCGACCTATGTTAATTTTCGTCAAACTTTAATAATATTTAGAGCCACACTACATTCACGATTTCTATATCTCAGAAATTCTCAGAGTTTTACACCAGAATTTCCAGAATTTAATTAATTACATTCAAATTTGGCATATTTATTAAAATAAATTAGATGAGAACAAATTCTAGTCTCCAGATGAAAGTCAGAAAATTCCCAAAAACTTGGAAAATACGAAGCGGAAAAATTTGAACCAATCTGGTTCGATGATTAAATAGTGAGCATCGAGAACTTTTTTAATTCTGAAATTAATATTTAGATTCGGGGTAGCATCTCCATTCTAATCTATACGTTGCTTAATCTGTAGGATTTGGAAAAGGAAGAATTCAATTCAACTTACGGATTCGCGGATCGAACCAGGAAGTGGTGCGAGTTTGGTGATTGATGAAATAAATCTCGCCCTCGGCTGTACGCGCCTGTTCCCATCCATCGGGCAATGGACCGAGAGCATTGGATTTGCTGCTCTCGACTGCCGCGGCTACTGCGGCCACGCTTGCGGCAGCAGCCGTTTTCCGCGGATCTTCCCATGTCGTGGTGCGTGTCAGGTGACTGCAAAAAGAAGTGAACGTTAGCGGGTAATACGTAAAAGGACAGTGTCTGAAACTTTAAAGGAGGTTTATAGAAAGATCAAGATTCTCGTAGAGCAACGAGGATCTACGTTCCAAATGAGACCTTAAGATTTTAAATAAACATTTTTTTTTCAAATTAGTAATCGCTGCAGCACAGTTTGCTTAGTCTCTCCGATACATTTCGTCAACTAAACAAACAAATAGATAAACGTTCGACAAATATATTGTAAATTTTCATTTTTTTGAAAGACTATAGCTTAATAAATTATCTATAAAAAGATCGACTAAAACATCGAAACAAACAAGATTGTATATGTTAGATTAGATTAAGCTTCGTCATCCGAAACAACTAAATATATTGAATATATACATATCTCATTAATGTATAATTTATGATTATGATAACAGTCTTCTGCTACGGAAAAAAAGCGTCATCTAAGATACATAATTTATCCTAAGAGTTCAACATTTTTCTTACATAAGTCTGTTATAAAACTAACGATATAAAACTAACGTAAGGCAAAACAATCTAGGTGAAAATACATTTATTCAGCGAATTGTGCCTCCATCGGGATTGTGCGAAATTTGACTTCCGTTCGATGTCACATCGAACACTTTAATGCTTGCTCAAGCTGCTCGATCCGCGGAAACTGAATACGCGGCGCGGCGCGTACAGTTATCCACATATAGTAGGCGCGTGCTAAAAATACTCCCATTCAAAAGATCGAAGCGAAGCGACGAGGCGACGTGGGTTAGAGCGTAGGTTTTAACGCCCGAAATAAAGCCGATCTCTTAATCTTGCCGATCTTTTGTTATAGAGAATAATATTCGCGATGATCCTCGCGAACGTTGTATACACTCTGCGTTAATTAAAAGTAAGGAGATTAGTCTTTTACATGTTTCGCGGAGTAGACTAGGTTTTCGAATGTGAATTGAACGGCAAATAATACCATCTGCAATTAAAAGGAATAATTGTTTTAATTTGTATAAAGTTTATTGCAAAAATAGGACATGTATATTAGAAATAAATCTTATATTCTGTTACATAAACTTGATTGTTATTGGAAAATAAAAAAGTTTGTTATCTAATAATCATTCATGCAGTACATCGCGTGTCTTTAAATCAACAGATACTTTAGAGCGACCTCGATTTGAGAGCAATCGAATGACTTACTTAGCTTCCAGATTATTATTTGATAACTTATCATTCGAGTCCTAATCAAATAAGTCTTTATATATTTTTTATTTTATAATTTTATGTCATATTCATCGTTCAATATCATTTAAATAAAATAGATAGTGTTTTTATCTTATTGAACTTTAAGATTAAGTGAACGTGAACGATATAACTTGTATTATTTATAAAGTAGGTACAATATATATTTCTCGTCGCCACAACGACGGATTTGCCATGCCGTAGTTCGGCTTCGGACAACGGCAAAGGAACGGGAGGAAGTCTGTTTTGCACAGCACGCGCATGTGACGTCATTGCGCGATTATATTTCTGCACCTACACATCGGGCCACAGACGTACCTGGCGTGACGCGTACCTGCCTTGCAACGGGCACGCGTTTGTAAACACGCCGACCCGACGCGCTCGTTCAGGTCGATTTATTAATCAGATCGAAGCTATTCGGACGGTACAGAGTTTATAATTAGCATTACTATTAGGATAAACAAGACCGAAGTTGGAGTAAAAATTTACTCCAACAAAATGTGGCTCTTATAGTTCGGATCATTTTCCATTCATAGTTCATTTTTATTTTTTTATAAAAATATATTTCACATTTTATGAAATAAATACAATTGCTTTCCTCCCTTCTCTTTCCTCTGCTTCAATATAAAACACAACGTTCTGTTGATAATATATCGAATTTGATTAGTCCGCGATTACGCATACTCGCGTTTGTACATCACTCTGGAAAAAATTAACAAACATATAGGGAATAACGAAACACCCTATATAACGGCGCAATTGCGCTTCGCACCCTAATCGCGCGCTCTATGTGCGTGGTTCTCTATCGCTTTTCGCCGCTCTCGGTTGGCCGCTGTCCAATAAGAGAGAAGCGAAATTGCGCCGCGCCGCCCCTCCGCGGCTGTTACGGGCCGCGAGGAGCACCGCGGAGGGGATGAGAGCGGCGGCAGGGGGAGGGAGGGGCATTGAGAGACCCGAGCCCGAGAGAGCTGAGAGAGCGCTAGCAAGCGCTAGCGCGGTGGAGAATTATAAGAGTTCTGCTGTGTGTGCACGCGCGCGCGTACGGCATACGGACTCTACGCGGTGTATTTTTACTCCGGACATCACGGCGCCGGACAACTCGTAAATAGACACTCTCGTATCGATGCTCACCGCTGCTCTCTGCTCTCTGCTCTCCTTCGCCGGTTCCGTCGGATCTCGCCGACTCCTTGCACCCTGCTGTTTTCCCATCCCTCTCGCCCTTTACCGTTAAGACACTCATGGCACTCGTCCTTTTTACCCTCTCACGTAGCATTCGAATCGGTCCAAAGACCTGAGATTCCAACGTTCTAACGATACGATTTCGTTCTCGCAACCCCAGTTTTACGTGCGCCCGACGAAATCAGGTATCCAATATTTGTAGGATGCTCTTCTTTATGTTAGACGATCCCAGGTATATCTGTTTAAATACCCATACACCGTAAAATTCACAATTTTTTGCACAAAAGGTGATGCGAATCTCAAATGTCAACGATCTCATAATGCACAAGTCTAGAAAGAAAGCTAGCTTACTCTACACAAGGATTTAAGTTATTAAAATAACTAAATTTCACCCCTCTCTCAAAACTTTAAAAAAAATTTTAAGAGATAAATGGTCCATTACAAATTTATCCCAAACAAATCTTAATCACAGCGTCGAATATTTTACATTTAGATTTTTGTTTGCGCAACGCTAAAAAGAAACGAGTTAAATGTAAATACAAGCGAATTACGCGCGATAGGAAACTATGGAGTTGATATCTCATGAAAAGAGATTATCTATATCCAAATATGAATTATATTGACATTAATTAGTTTCGAGTAATTTAATCTTCAAACGATAAATTAATTAAACGTTTATTTTAAAGGCAACATAAGATAAGTCTTGCAAGAAACGTTGGTTGAAATATCAAATAATTTGTATCAACGTGTCTAATTTATATATATTTATGTAAAACTGTCCACGTTTGAAAAATTTAATTTATACTCCTCTGTTTAAAAAAAAATTACTATAAAAATATTTTCGCAAATTATTTACGCAAAATTAAAATAAATTCTGAAAATTCAAAAATAAAACAATCCCTTAAGAGAAATATCTTCTTATATACATTAAAAAAGTATTTGAATAATTTCAATCTAATACTTAAAATTCCAAGTTAATTTTTAGAAAGAAAAGAACTTATGAGAAATCTTTTACAAATAAAATATTATAATTATATGGAAGGACGTGGACCGTAATATACAAATCGGTGAGATCCATTTCATATGGGATACAAGATTAAGATTAACGGAACAACATACACTTAATCGCATTAAGATGTCACATGCGATATTTATGATATTACTGAGAAGCACTAGCGGTACGTAAAATTTAGCGATAAAAACATTTCGATGCCATCCGGATTTATACTACGGATAACTATTTCTCGTTTCTCTACACGTGAAATCGCTGATGTCGCGGCCTTATGCTCGCGAAAATGAGTAACGCGTGTTGGAACATAACGCTTTCAGTTAATGGGATCCTTATGGCAGGATGATAATAAACGACCTACACGTGAAGATCCTCGAACTAAGTGCTTGCTTGATTAGTGGTATAATGAAAGTATTTCTTACAGCCGCAATATATTTGTGACATTTCTGTATCATCCTATTATATAATCAATTTCTCTAATTTTTCAAAAATGTCATTATAGATTTTAATAAACAATCTTTTATTTAAAAATACCGTTTGTTATAAATTATCTGATTTTTCCAGATAAAAATGGAAAATTTTCCATGAGATATAAAATATGTAAATTTTTATATTTAGTCTCAAGAATTGTGTAGGAAAGCTAGTCTATATTAAAAACAACGGAAAAAAAGCTTAGTATAATTTTGGGTGAAAATTCAAGCCAGCAAAAAATTAATTAATTTTGGAAAAAAGAATGCAGTTATGATGAAAAAGAGGGATCAAATAAAAATACTGAATAAAATATTTTGAATTATTTTATTAAAATCGTTTAAAGTGAGCAAGTTTTGAACTATCAACGTCAGAGAATATAATATTTAAAAAATTATAACAATTATTCGAAATAGGAGCAGTTTAAGGAAATTGTGAGCAAATTTTGAAATTCCAGACTTTTTTACATTTTCCCCTGATTTTTCCCGGTTTCCATGACCAATTTCAATTTCCCTGATTTTTCCGGTTTTCCCAGTCTGTGGCAACGCTGCAATTATCTCAAAATAGATAAATTAAAATTATATATTCATAAAAAATGTAAATATTTTTTATTATAAATTGTTATTAAAATAAATTAATTTATTTAAAAATACTTTTGTATTGCATATTTAAAAAATTTTATTTCAAAAATGTATAAATATATCGAGATATATTATATATTTTTTCCCGTTTTAAATTTGTGTTTGTAAATGTTGCAAACGTATTTGTAAAGCGTATTTGTAAAAATGTAAAGCCTTTAACAGCCAGAGAAATAGAATGTTTTTATCCATTCCTTCATACGTCGAACAAATTTCACGCAACGCGCGTTGCTCACGTCGCCTTGAACTTTCGATACGTTCGCCCTGTACTCTCAGCGATCTGTCCTCGTATCTGGCATTCGCATTTGTCGTCTAAGCTCTCTCGCGTACAGGTGTGTCGGGGTCTTTAGCCTCGGTGCAGCGCAGCGCGGCACGGTGTGAGGAGGTCGTCTTTACCAACGATGGCGCATCACGATGCCATCAACGGTAGATTTTGCTCGAAAACTCTATTGTCATTCAAATATTCTATC